CGAAGTTTCAAATAAAATTGTGATGCCCATTTCACTGTAATTGTTCTTTGTAACAGCCTGCGCCGCGACTGCGACCGTATTCTCACGCAATAAACTTTAACGTCTCAGTAGTAAAGTAGTAAACACAACATTTATTTATGGATATTGACCTACATGAACAACACATTATTTAAAAATTGTTTGACCTGTCAAGTAGAGCTGATAACTCCAGTAATATCCACATCTCAATACCGAAGTTTATTCATGAACTTGAGATTAGAATTTGGGTTTTTTCGAAGCATATTTTCAAGCGAGCGAGGGCGGCCTTCGTTGATAAAATTGCGCAATAAAGCCGCTAAAGTTCATGGTTTTTGAGGAATGGAATTGCAAGATAAGATAGTCTGAACAATTAACCATTACATAATGTTTTCCTATAATAATAGTTTGAACTAGTGTATATGAAATAGTATGTTTTGCTAGCTAATGGATGTACGTATATAGTGTGGTAGTAAATGAGAAGCACACGTCTTAAAGTATTTCAGTTGATTGTGATAAAACAACGAATTAATAAATATTTTTGCAGATTGAATAATTCAGCAAATTTAACCAACAATTCAGAGAATCGAAAAAAAAACAGAAACAAATAATATTCAATTAGACCTTGCCTGACTTTATTATACTAAATCCTACAGCAGAAAAGCACAGCAGAATAGTGCAGTGATAAGCCAACTTGTTCCTATCTTGGCCTAGTGCATAACTTTTGATCACCTCAAAATTCCTTGCCGCTAGTTTTACAGGAAATTATTTTGCATTTAAAAACTGGGCATTAAATCGTTTCCTCGTAAAATATTCATTAATGATCGTTTCAACGCGCTGCTTCCCAATTAACACAAATTAACATGTCAACAAATAATAATTGTATAGTTCAAATGGCACATTTATATCTGCAGACACTTGGTTATTGGAGGTTCGTGTCACAGTCTGGGTCTTCCCTCCATTAGCGACTCCGATACGCGTCTCTGTCGACAGCGTCCGGAATTTCCCGACACGACAGAACCTTTCTGCCAAAAATGAAGATATTTATATATTTATAGTTTATGAAGATATTGTTATTTTAATGCCGTACGAGTTCACTCAAACCTTGATTGAAATAAGTTAATTTGAATAAATTAAATATATTCTTCTAATTGTGCGAATGCGATTAATCGTCACTAAATTACAATGAATTGGCCAAATTTTTGACACTTTTATGCTTATAGCTTGTATGCCTTAATTTTGAATGACACGCCCGCAACCGAGTACAAGCATAATGTCCAAATTGTGAGCCTTGAGCTCATCCATCAAAATTATATAAAAAATCGCGCCGAGGGTCTTTCTCGAGCACCGCGCAGCTCAAGCAAAACAAATTCAAAATTTTCCGAGGCGGAGCTCAAACAATAAAAAAAAAACTAACATTTTTGTGGGTATCACGCGAGCTAGCATCCCACCGCAGCCTCTTCACAATTTCTAAATGACGCAAGCGACCAGCGAAAAATGGCCTTAAAAAACTTGAAGGAAGTTGCAAACTTAGAATATTGGTCGAGGCAACTCTCTTGTCTAATCATTTGCCGCTAATTGCTGAAGTTTGCATCTTAGTTACCCTTACTTAACACAGCGGTGAGCAGTAAGCAATGCCCGTTCTTAGGTGCGAGTTCCTGCGTATGGATAAATGTTATTTACTATGATGAAAATTCCTTAATTCTACTTTCCGAACATCAATTCTCAAGATAAACACTTCTTTGCTACCGTGGGTAAAAAAATGTAAGAAAAAACAACAGTACAATTAAATTTTATTGTGGAATAGAAAAATTTTGTAAGGCATTTGGGAAATTTTTCGATTTGCCATTTTTAGAAGTAATTATAAAATTAAGAATTATCGAATCACAATCCATTTTGAATAATTATTTTCAAGAAAATAATAATTTGGTATTTAATTTAATATATCAACCGTTACGATTCAAGTGCTGTACTACAAAATCATCCAAAAACTGCAATCAAGATTAGTTCTCGTTTTGAAATTTTCAGTGAATTCTGTCTATTATTACCGGCACAGTAGTGAGAACATTTAGTCTGAGTTTGAATATAGCCTCTGTCTGAGGATGAATTTAATTAAATTCATTGAGAAGAAAAACTACAAGTTGTCTGAGATTTGATAATTGAACCAGAATTAGATAAATTTCAATAATTGATCCAAAGACTAAATAATTCTAAAGGCTCTTAGAAATATTGACTTGAAATTAACCAACTATCCACAAATAATAACGATTTTTCATCTATATATTCGGTGTATCATCGAATCATGTGTAATTAATTTTCTCTATCAAAAGAATACCAATAATATAATAAATGAGTTAGAATTTTCATATCATTTATTTAAGTCATGAAAATAGCATAACATTCTGAATTAATTGTTTTCTCCGGCTAATTATACATACTGCTTTAAGTTCCACTTATCCGGACTATGATTATTTGAACCCAATGACCTTTATAAAATTTTAACAGAAAAATGTGAAAATAAAATTGACCTGGCTGGACCTTTTGTGAGTTCAATAAAGGTGTCTTGCAACATAAAAAATGTCTAGCAACAAAAAGGTGCACCTAACCCTAACCCTAACTCTAACCTAACAAGATTGGCGTTTTTAGAATGTCCGGTAATGCAGTTTATTTATTTTTGCGTTCTGTTTACTAGTACAATCTACCCTAACAAAATTTAGAGTCGCCCCAGCTTCTGGTACCCCAAATCAGAAAATCAGAAGCTGACGCGTCTGTAAATTTTCACTGGGTAATTAGAGTATAAAATCGGACGCAATTTTGTCAAAATTTCTAACTCCTGTCTGGTAATATTACCTATCCTGTCCAGATATTGAACGAAAGTCGAATATACTGAATATACAGAATATACATATATAATATTTAATATGTAGTGTAGTATCATATATTGCACGAATAAATAGCGCAATGTTTGTGGTCTCTAGGGGCGTATCAAATTGCGGACTTCGGCTGCAAAAACAATAGCAAAGAGATACTCGTTTGACCACAAGTTATTCGGGCAGTTATTTAAAAATTGTTGGCTCACAGTTATTTAATATTGTTAACAGTTCCACTTCGATTCTGTATCGGATACAAAAAGGCCTTAGAAATATATTAAATTGGACATCGAGGCAAAACAGATGGATAAAGCAGCATTTTGGTGATAAATTTTCGGAAATTTCTTTCTTTTATTACCAGAAAGCTTTCTACTAAACGTTATATCCCTTTTAGTTCGAGCAATAATTTGCACCCTGTAAATCGGCTTACCGCAGAGTGATGTTTTGCAACTTTGTTAGGAACTGAGCATCGCAGCAGGATTGATCGTACTAGCAATCCGCTTCCCATCTGCCTCATCCAGGACAACGCTTGCAGGCCAATCTGATTGTCTTCTGATAAATAAATATATATGATCATAGCATTTTTATTGAACTATTGTACCTTGAAATTTAAATATCTTTGACAGTTTAAAGTATATTTTTCACATAATAATCATAATGACGAAATATTGAGTACAAAAATCAATTCTGAGAATTATTTTTAACAATTCGTGTTTGCTAAAAAATTTTAAACTTTAAAATAATATTCTAAGTATAGAGGTTTGCTGCAATAAATTCCAAGAAAAAAAAACAAATATTCAAGCTATCAGCGCCATTTATAAAAAAATTCGTAAATTATCTTATCTAATAAAGAATTATTAAAAAGAATAGTTAGCAAATATTGATGTCAGGATGTTAAATTTTGTTAATGATCTTATCTTTTTAATGATTTTCTGAAGAAATATTTAGGGAATGTTGACGAATGGACATAATTACGATTATCTTGTAATTGTTAAGCAGGTGGCAAAACTCTTGAAAGCAGGCGTATAAAAGGACGAATACCCAGTGTTTAACAGTTCAGGGCCTCCGCAGTTTTGTGAGTTCAATAACATGATTCCGATTAGTTCTTAATGCTCGAACTTTCATTAAGTGTCGAGCTATGCAATGCGTCTATTGCATAGCTCGTGTACTTCTTTACGAAAATGAATCTGTACGGAACACAGTCAGTATTCATACATTATAGGAATACAAGCGGCCCATTACCGCACCGTGCGCACTAGCAACAAAGACAATATACCAGTGAATTTGAAATAACTGGCTGGGCTGTAATATACAGGCTGTGCTATCAGTTTATTAATTAACAGAGCATTAGCACAGGGACTAGTCGTGCTCTGCTGCTGAGTAAATCCTCCCGCAGCCTATTAATCCCCCGGGCGGGCCTGCAGACAACCGGGATTATGATAAGGCACTTGGAAACCTGAGAATATTTGATGAGAATATTCTTTCCATTTTTAGCATTATTTCATGCCAGTAAAATTAATTCAATGTAAACTGTCGATACTGTGTTGCGTAAGATCCATGACTTAACATATAATCTTATAATCTTAACATATAATATACCTATACGTTATACATATATACTTATATAGGGTCATTTACCGTAGACTTTTCACACCGACCTTTTCCGCTAAAATTCCAAAATATACTTTAAATGTTATACATGTATACTTAAATTATCGGGTCATTTACCGTAGACTTTTCTCACACCGACCTTTTCCGCTAAAATTCCAAAATATACTCAAATGTTAATCGGAAATCATTAGTGTAGCCAACTTTGTTAGGAGCCACCAAATAAAAGTTACCTATTATACCGAATAAATGCAAGATTACACTCGTTTCTTCATATTCATTACTGATTTTGCTTCCAATCAAGGTTTTTTTATTAAATTCTTCTGGGATTTTTCATCTTCCACTGTTACGGCCACGAAGTCATATCCTGAATGTTGGGTAGATTCAATCCCCGAAAACACCAAGCCAGCAACACCAGCTTTTGGAATACCAAAAAATAAAGAAACCAGTTTTTTCCTGCCAAATTTTCTGCCAGTTTCCCCTAACGGTTGTTCCTCTTGTGCTCAGGTATCATGGATACGAAAACGGGACTACCAGCTTCTCACTGTGGGACTGAAAACGCACAGCATGGACGACCGCTTCACCATCAACTACGTGCACTGGGTGAGTGGGCTGCGCGGTAAGTTGCACTGGGTGAGTGGGCTGCGTGGTGTGTTGCACTGGGTGAGTGGGCTGCGTGGTGTGTTGCACTGGGTGAGTGGGCTGCGTGGTGTGGTGCACACTTAGTGACGAGTTCAGAGATCAAACTTGAGTTGGATTGACAGCAGAAGTTCAAGTAAAATCGAAGCAGGAGTTTTAGAATTGATGCGCAGGTCGAGCGGGGCTCTTACTTCAATTGGTTTATTTAATAGCGCCAGTGATTTGTATCCAGAAATGTTATTCAATTGGTATTCAAATTTGATTGAATTTAGACATGAAGGAATTCGATTTTCGTAGGTGCAAAGAGGATTGGAAATTTTATTATATATTCACCTGTTACAAGCAATTTTACTACTTGCATTGTATTTTGGGTATTTTTATTTACAAGCGATTCAACTTATTCAATTGTATTTGGGGTAATTTTCTTACCCCAGGACTGGCAGCTTAGATATGCAACGCTAGTTATTTCATAAACGTTCAGAGCAAGTTATTCGATGCAAAAAGATGATAATGCTACGTGTGTTCAGCTTGACATATTAAAAACAAGAAATCTTGGTCGTAATATTCGCATGATAGATGGCAGTGAGTTACGGCGGCAGCTGCTTTATTAGAGAAAATGTCGCTCAAACGCTGACAGCGACGTTGAATTTATCATGAGCGATATAGACCGAAAAATAAATAAGACTATTATATGAAATGTCGTTCCAACTTGAAGGAAAAACATGTTACTACTCTTTGCCTGCAGGAGTAAAGGCAGATGTTGCTTGAAACGCTGATGTTGTTGTATGTATTCGTCCAAACTAAATTTAAATTCAAACGAACTGGAGTCGCAGCCTCCCTCATTCATCACTTGCATTCGTCGGTCGCTTTCTTCTAATTAAATTTTTTGACCGCACACGCTTCCCACTCTTTGGATTCAAGATGATTTGATATGGGCTGTGAAGAGACATTGAGTTTCCTCGATGCACGTAATACGTGACCACGCTAAAAATTAGGTTTTATGTGCGATAGAAGGCTAGCTGACGTTCATTCAAAAAGAAGAATGTACTTTATCCGTAAATAAGAAGAATGTACTTTATCCGTAAAGAAGAAGAATGTACTTTATCCGTAAAGATGAATGTACTAGAACATTACATAAAAAAATTCCACTTTCACGGATCAGAAATTATTTTTTTCGCCTGAGGAAAAGTGATTGATCAGTCGAAAATTCACAGTTGTTATATTAGTCCAACTTAAAAGCATTTCTGAGGCGTTAGCACGTCAAATTTTAAATTTGGGACAGAACATTTTTAATGAATGAATAGTGACTAGGTGTTAAGCCCTGGGCTTCGGCGAAGTTTTAGGCACTAAGATTTCGAAGAGATTTATCGAAGAATCTTGTGAAACCATAGTTTCTGCAGGTATGACATAATAAATGTTAGCTATCTACTATAAATTGAGACGTAAGACAAAAACAATATAAGAGCAAAATTAATTCTAGGTATACCATGAAAATATCAGGTCAAATTAATTATGAACGACGAATTAATTGCAGCAGTAAGTTACTTTATCGAAATATTTTGCCGCTAAGACAATTATGAACTGCTACCTACAAACAAACTAATTAAAAAAAAAATTCGGGCAGACGACTGAAGGTCTGAACTAAAGGAACACGTGAAGCGTACATGTGAAATTGCGATTACACTAGGTTTAAATAAAATATGAGATTCTGAACGTAAAATCCCAAAAAATTAAGCTAGACGTCCAGGATTACACAATGAAGAGAACTTGGAATTGTCGAACAATTTTTTCCGGCCTGTATTGAATTAATGTCTGTATATTGACTCCCTTATGGCTTGCTTTCTTTTTCAATTCCATTTCAAAGAGATCAAGCAGTTATACTGAACTGGCTTAAAATCGATTTCCTGTTATTTCATTAGAAATACTTTTCAGCATATTTTTTTAATTCACGAGTATAAATTTGAAAAGCCTGCTTCAGAGTGCAGATTTTTTCTATGTCTCTCAAGCTTCCACCTCAGGAGGTTTTCCGCGCCGTTTTCTCGATACGATAAAAACTTCTGCATTCAATATTCATAGGAAACATCTTCGATGACATTTTGACATTTTCTGGATAAGAAATATGTACGGAGCGGGCGGCAAGTGAATCCTAATTTTTTTATCATTTCTGAAAGATTTTGGTTGAAAAAATATTAAAAATACTTCAACGAATTTCAAACGGATTGATGGGAGGCAAGTAAAGATAACGTTGAAACGATTTTTGCTTAGAAATGTTGCTAACGCAATCACGGAATATATTTTTTTGACATTCCAACAACCTTGAGAGCAAATAAACGTTTCAAGTTAACGAATTTATATAGATAGACATCAAATAAATCTTTTGATCAATATGTTTTGTATTTACATTTTCCTGCTGTCACTGGAAGGCAAATGTCACTGCAGTTTTCTTGACCAAGTTATTCGTTCAAAACGTGCTCGAAAATGTCCAGTGTGTCTTCCCACACACACTATTTTCTGGGAAAATGCGCTGATTGAAAATTTTTCAGATTGATTTTTTGTGACTATTGACTTCTGATTATCAAGAGCATAGAAATATGTACATTTTCACTTAGATTCTACGAAAAAAAACTAACAAATGACATAAGATGCAGCAACTGCGTCGAGTGTTCGTGCATAAATTTAAGTGTTAAATTTGAAATCAAATTTACGTATTCAAAAGGAAAATCAAAGGAAACCTATATGAACGCAATAGGTATTAGCCACCTAAACCTTTCCTAGAATAGATACTATGAATTACATAAGATAAAAGGAGCAAAATTGATTTTTTCTATTGAAAAGTATGCTTCAGGGTCAACCAATTTTTTGGTGGGAGCAAGAGTTGTATAGCATGAAATTAAAGACATGACTAGAATCAATCCAAATCCCCACCCTAAAAGTATGGGTGTAATTAGTAATTAAAAAGAATTGACGACATGACTAGAGTCCCCTCCCTAGAAGTAGAGGTGGGCAAAATTTCTTCGTCGTATACGAATAAAAAACGGAATGTTACAAAATTAGTCGAAGAAATGAATGAAGGTCTTTTATTTGTGCGTCAGGTGCTACTTGTTACCGATGCATTAAAATTTCAGATCGTACAAGTCTCATCGATTCCTCATGAACCTGCAACTAATTTATAAAACCAACTTTCCATTTCAAAGAAAATTACTTTAAAATTTAAAGTTTTTTTCTAATTATGATGACTAACATAAAACTATTAGAAATGTAAAACATCCTAATGTTGGTGTAAGCACGGTTTTCGGAGATTATTGATTCCATAAAAAAAACTAAAATTATCAGCGAAATACACATATTTCTATGAATTTATATTCGTTGTTTATTTAAGTATAACCCAATCAACCTTAAAATGAAATTCACCAATTTTGAGAAGGCTGTACGTCTTGGTTCTGAAAGAATGAATCGAAAAGACCGAGTCCGTCTTGTCATTCCCTGCGAGGATCAAGCGCTGTTTGTTCCTCAAAGTTTGCCTGATAAAGAAAGAATGGAAATTTTTTTCAAGAAAACGTCGGCTTTGAGGAACCGCTGGAAAATTTCTCCGCTGCAAGCAAACTTCACTCGAGCGTTGGGGAAGATGAGGGGATGAACCTCGTCTTCTGAGGTCAGGAATTTGGGAAGGAAAGCTTGAAGAACTGCCGTTGAGATCCACGAGATGGGGAATTGAGGCAGCATCTATCCACAAGAAGCCAAAGGGGGGACGGCAACTGATAAGCAAATTACTGCGTCTGGCGAAATAGAAAGAATTCCTCTCAGACGGCAGCGCAGTCGTGGCGCAGCCTTTACTGCCGTGATGCAACTCTGATGTTGCTGCCGTGCTGCTGCCGCTCTGCTACTACTTGCTTCTGCTGCCGTGCTGCTGCTATGCTTATGTTGCCGTGCTGTTGTTGTGTTGTTGCTACTTTTCTGTTGCTGCTGCTTTGCTGCCATGCTGTCAAACTGCTCTGCTTTTGCTGCCTTTTATGTTGTTTTTATTACTCAGTGGTGCAGCTATTGTCTCAATGCTCAAACTGACATTGTGATGCTGTCGTGCTAACAGATTGTTGGTGCTGATGTGACAGTGACGCTGCGGTTGTCAATGCAGCGAGGTTGTGGCTATAATAATTCACAGATTATGTATATGTGAGGAGCTTCACCGTACGACTTTGTGGTGAAGTGTCCTCGGCTCAGTTGAGCGATGCCTTGCCGGACTGAAGTTTCTATGTAATTATATCAACCTCAAAACTTCTCCATCGTAATAATTCACGCCAAATTTATTCGCAAGTCAACTTGATGAAGTTTCGAACGAATGGAGTTGGCGTCCAAAATGTTTTCAATTAAACCATAAGTAATTCAAATATTTTTTTTGCTTTATAATTTATTGTAAATTTGCGGTATAATCATTCTCATGTTGTTAAAACTTTTTTACTACAGAGGCTGAAGCTGAGATCCTAGGTTCCCCCGAGAAGCATGTTAAGGCCGGCAGCATCCTTCGGCTGGTGTGCATCCTCCGACACACGACGGAGTCCCCGGCATACGTGTTCTGGTACCGCGACCAGCAAATGATCAACTACAACGAACAGCAGAGTGTCGTCGTCGAGAGCGACGAACATACGAGCGTCCTGCTCGTGACGCGAGCGGACCGCCAGCACTCCGGCAACTACACGTGTCTCCCCTCCAACGCGCGGCCCGCGTCTATACTAGTGCACATCCTCAACGGGGAGCTCGGTGAGTCAGGGTAGGAAATATAATTTAGGGTAAATTTATTATGGGCACCCCACAAGTGGCAGGCTTGCGTCTATACTAGTGCACATCCTTAAAGTGGAGCTCGTTGAGTCAGGGTAGAAAATATAATAAAGGGTAAATTTATTAAGGGCACCCCCCCCCCCAAGTGGTAGGCTTGCGTCTATACTAGTGCACATCCTCAACGGGGAGCTCGGTGAGTCAGGGTATATAGCGAATATAGTTTAGAGGAAACATATTTCCGTACTCCTCTGCATACTGAACATGAAGATGGGTGAGTCAGAGCAGGGAATACAGTTTAGGGTAAATATGTTCCCGCAACCTCTCTACTTACTACACGAAAGGGCATGAAATATAGGTGAGTCAGGGTATGAAATATAGTTTATGGTTACTATGTTTCCGCAGAGTATATGTGGCGCCAACAGAACAATTTTCTGTTAATGACTTATTTTCAATTTCAGATTAAATTATGTCTCAGAAACAATCCATTTGAATTTTCAAAGAGCGGTTTTAAGGGAAAAACGGTAAATTTTGTGCAATTAAAATGCAATTAAAATCTTTGGCAGAGCATATCCTGATGTACTCTTGGTGAAGAAGTCGAACTTATTTCAGTACATGAAGAGAATCCGTCCAGAAGCTAGTGTTCTTTGTTACCGAATCATGTATTCAAACGGTAGGATTAACGTCAAGTAATTTTTCGTGTCGGTACTCGTTTGCAAATTTTTACCATCAAATCATCAAACGTCTTGAGTCATCAAACGTCATGAGTCATCAAACGTCATGAGTCATCAAACGCCATGAGACACACTTCATCAAACGGGCCTTGTTTTCGCGGCTGGTCCCTGGCCCAATTTGCTAAACAAATGATTTTTCGATCCTACCATATGCTAAGATTATTTATACTCAATGAAGTATTCATGAAATCAATGGGACATCAACAAGTTGTGTGTGCCAGCATTGACCGCAACTCCTGTCACGGCGCATGCTGGTTGACCGCTGGCAGAGCAACACCTACGCTTTACACTGGAGGAAAAAAATAAAACAAACGCTTATCACTGTAGGAAAAAAATAACACCAACGCTCTATAATGTCGAAAAAATAACGCCTACGCTATGCACTATAGGAAAAATAACATCTACGCTCTATACTGTAGGAAAAAATAACACCTACGTTCTATACTGTAGCAAAAAGTAACACCTACGCTCTATACTGTAGGAAAAAATAACAACTACGCTCTATACTGTAGGAAAAAATAACACCTATGCTTCACACTGTAGGAAAAATAACACCTACGCTTTGCACTCTAATGAAAAATAACACGTACGCTCTACACTGTATAAAAAGAACACCTACGATTCACCTTGTAGGAAAAAAAACATACGCTTTATACTGCAGGAAAAAATAACGCCAACGCACAACGCTGTAAGAAATATCCATTTAACAATTGATTTTTAAAGACAAGACTTTCAAAGAGGCCATTGCCTCTGATGTTGCACATGTACAATGAATATCTAATTTGATTTGTATATATATTTTTTTATTTATAAAATTGTTTATTCTGTCAATTGATTCATTGTCTCCGACTTTACGCAAGTGTGCAAAATATCAAATAGAATGCACAACTTGAAATGTGTTAAATATTAATTATGATACTTGCAGCAGACAACAAGAAATGAAATTAAAGAGAAGTGTTGTAGAAATACCACCAATGCTTCGCACAGTACGTAAAAATAGCACGAATTCCATATACTGTAAGAAAAATAACACCAACTATTTTCACACTAGGAAAAATAACACCAACTCTTTATGCTGTAGGAAAAAATACGGCAACAACGCCACTGCTACCGTGTGATATCACTCATACTGTTTCTTCTTCCGAGTACGACAAGAAATCGTTTGATATCCAAATCATAAAACATCTGCAAAATAAATTATCTATTTCGACTATTAGGCGACTCGTGTCCATACTTCACTCCACATTCCAGAACATTTTACTACACAGTGTGCAAACATTTAAATCTAATGAACAATTCTAGGTCGTCCTCTTATCCTCCTAGGCTAGAACGTCCCCATAAAGTGCCACCACGGCGTAATTCATGCCAAAACAACAGCTCTAGATCGTCCCCATAAAGTGCCGCCACGGCGTAATTCATGCCACATAAAGTGCCGCCATGGCGTAATTCATGCCACAACAACAGCTCTAGATCGTCCCCATAAAGTGCCGCCATGACGTAATTCATGCCACAACAACAGCTCTAGATCGTCCCCATAAAGTGCCGCCATGACGTAATTCATGCCACAACAACAGCTCTAGATCCTATCCTTCGCCCCAGTGAGGGAAGCTTTCATCCTCGATTAGTTATGGAGCCTCGTAGGATCAATGAACTTCGGAGGACTTCAAGCCCTCGTCAGAAAATAAATGAATTTTGTAAAATTTATTTCAAAATATTACAAAGTTCGTAAATTCTCCGAAACTGTAAGACTTACTTTAGTAATAATTATAATTTTCTTATTTGCCTGATTTTCTTTTCCGTTGAGGTGAAACGTTTGATTACTAAAATAAATAAATTGCTTAATCATTAACAATGTTAATTAAACCATCATTTCGATTTGGAATGGCCTAATAATTTCTGAATCCAAAAATGTTCTTTTTGGATTGTGTTGCCCAACTATATAACACACGTTACAAGTGTTACTTCACAAATTGCTCATTAATGTAAAATGTAAATGATTTTGATGCCAAAAATTTCATCTCCTAAACGCATTTTTATTTAGTTTTCAATAGTCTTTAGGTTCTTTTTTTTTTTTTTGCCGTTATTTCTTCTATTAAGGGTATTATCAACACCCTTGGTATTTCCCTTGCATCACTCATCGGATTATTACTGGATGAACTTTTTCTGTTTTAACATGGAAAAAAATGACTATTAATCATTTATTAGCTAATGCACACGTTTCCATTTTTAAAATCTTCAGACAGAATTTCTACGCAAACCTTTCTCACTTAGTTATGTTTTAAAAATGAAGGTTAAATGCAGGTTTTTGCCTTTTCAAAGAATGTCCCAGTCAATTCTGAGCTACATCAGTCAGTTTAAAATTCTTAACTACCTCCTGAAACTCCGACGTTGAAAATTAGCGCATCTGAATGCATGATTAAATAGAAACCATGCCGCTTGTAAAGCAAAAATAGAATAGATGAGAAAGTGCACTCTTCTTTTAAAAAAAATTGAATATCAGATGATCTTAATTGTGTCCACACAACTAATGGACTGCATTCAATCTTTGTTTAATCTTAAACTATTCCAATTTTAGTGCACATTTTCAGTTCATTATATACACACGCAGTTTTTCAATAACATTGTCATGTGAAAATTTCACATGGCAAACAAGGTGATGGACAATCGATCATTTTCGTCGATTAGGACTTCTTTGAATAGCTGGCGATTCGCCAAACTTGTTGGTGGGAACGTGGTTCAATGGACCGTGATTGTTAAGTGGATGTTTGAGTCCTGCACGTAGTGTAGATTGCAAAGCGGGGTGTTTGAATACTAAATGTAGTTTTGATTGCTAAGCGGGGTGTTTGAATACTAAATGTAGTTTTGATTGCTAAGCGGGGTGTTTAAAATCTAAATGTATTTTTGATTGCTAAGCGGGGTGTTTGAATACTAAATGTAGTGTTAATTGCTAAGCGGGGTGTTTGAATACTAAATGTAGTGTCGATTGCTATGACGGGTGTTTCAGTACTTATTGTGCTATTAGTTATTTATTTTTCATCACATAGTGCGATATCGCATGCGAGATCGGACAAATTTATTTCAGCGCGAATTTGAGTACTGATTTGAAAAGTTCCAACTTACCAGTGCCGTATATTAAAATGAGTAAATAGGCATCCTGCTAAACTTTCGCTTTCGTTACGCTGGACTATACACTTTATGAATACGTATATGTTAGTTTTTAATTGTATTTTCATTCCTTCAAATGTTTGTATAGCACTGAAAATCCTGTTTTCGCAGTTTTCCGGGTGAGTTGAGCGATGTATATATTGACTTCTCGACAAGGGCAGACGGTATAAAATTCCCTCACCCGATTTCGGAGAGTGAAAGTGAATTTTATGTTGCTTTTTTACCGTCCTACACTTACTGGGGGAGATGGACCAGATAACTTCCAGTGTTATATTTTAAAGGAATTTCTTCTTCTTTAAAGGAAATACTTCTTGATATCTGGCTTTGATTTTCATTTTTATAACTTATATAAACAATTTTTCAACATGATTTTTCCACACTTCTTTCGACTCATCGTACACCACGTTTTCCATCTACAGGCGAGTACCCAGCGGCCATGCAGCACGGGGAGTCGACCGCCATCTGCCGTCCTCTACACCGACTTCTTCTTCCCGGATGTCTTGTGCTGCTGGTTGTCCTCTCCCGCCGCTTCTCCCGAGACTCGAGGCAGACATTTCGACCAATTGCCGAAGAAATTCAGCGTCAAAAACCCACTCGAAACAATAATAACATGTGCGAAGTTCCTGGTACGATTGCCATGAATGTCCAATCACATGGAAACGGAATTGGAAACAGTGGTCCCTCAAAGTCTGCGATCGAGCCTGACGCGAAACAAACAAACCCATACTGCTCCATAGAAATCAGTTATTCAGGCCACCACAACGGTAACGTTCATACTAGCGTGTACAACGCAAAACGAAAACGCTGTCTGTATTTTTCGATGTGGTTCTATCAGGAATGTAGCACTCGAGAAGCCATTGTTGTCCCATGCAAGACGTTGTTATCGCGTGCAGTGGAAGATGCTGTTGACGCGCCTCGCGATACTCTGGCCTTAGGCACAATGAAATGGATCAGATTAAGAAGAATTTGTATCGGATTAAAAACGAGACACAACGGGGAAGATCCCTAGGTCATAATTAATACATGAAAATATTTTTCATTCATTCTGCATATGAACATCGAATTTCTTCTTGATTAACTTGAATCTATAAATTGTCTTGAACAATAAGATAGGTGAGGCATATTGCAATACCGTATTAACTATTGAAATGATTTTTTTTGCGGTTTAAATTCCTCATCACATACTCCAACATTAAGAAGTAATATGAGAAAAAATCTACAGGGTTTGGGGGATTGCAGTAAACTATATATTTCATTGCAATTGAGTCTTCATTGAGTCTATTAGGTTTGCCGAACTAAAAATTTAGAGATAGAAGAAGATTCGAGGATAAATTTACAAGTCGGAATCGTGAACACATTAAAGCCAATTCTTAAGCAATGTATAATGGAATAGATAATTGTTATCTCAGCTTCAGAGCGCAAAACACGAAGTGAAAGTATTTACCCACGACGCAGATCGTTAGCTGCTGCACAGTTGACTGTGACTCGTTCAATCAGGATTGAACCCTTTAAGCTAACTAGTAACAGATAAAACCAGTTCACTAATAAATTAATATTCATTTTATCCGTAGCATTTGTATGGATGATTAATGCTTATAATTTACTCATCGATCTATATACTCTACGTCTCTACCTAAGAAATACATTTAGTAATTACGGTTCGGATATGGTGAGCTTTTTTACAAACTATTAAGACGGAAGTTTCATTCCAAAATTTTGCATCTGACAACAAGAATCATAAAGCCCATTGAAAATTTAATGTATATAAAATGCGGCTACGCATGCGCATGTCAATAATGTCTATGATGTACATGATGTTGTACAGTCGTACTTAAGTAACTGTATTGATGGATGCTGTCAGTGTTGGTAAGCCAAACTTCTTCTGTATAATAAAATATTTTACGTCCAGACCGTCTATTTTCCTTAGCCTTATCACGAAAATTATTTACACAGCTCCCAATACAGCTGAGGAAAAATACATGCTACAGAAGAACTTGAATCCAAATAATCAAATTTGAAGTTATGATTTATGTTTATGGCACATCGCAAAAATTCAACTATATTGCCAGAGCGTCGTTAGTCTTCAAAACATATTCTCATTCTTTATCAATATTTTCTAAATAAACAACTTAGGTCCCACCGAATAATTGCTCCTGAGTAGCTCTACGACTTCATACGTCTTAAAGAAATTTCAAATGGGGTAGGATTTTGACACCAGAATCAATTCAATATACAAATCCGACTCTCACTCTCAGGAGAGCAAATACACTCTAAATTTGCACACAGTTCTAACTATCTACAAGAAAAACTACGAAGGCACGATACGTAATGCAGAGACTGAGAAATATACTTCAAAAGATTGCGTTGTTCGAAAGAATTGAGGTCTTCTAGGCGATTGAAAATCGATCATCATTTTCAAATGATTTGATTCAAAATTCAAAACGGGCGGGGAAATTTTTGAATGTTGAAAGTCATTGGCAATTATCTATCAAAAAATTTTATAATGTACTTTTATATATGTAAATAACAATATGAAATAAATCATTTGAAGAGAGTTATTATTTGTTGAAAGCCTACAAGCTCGCACGTTAACAACGCTGGTCATCAATAATGCACAGAATATACAATAATAAAAGTTAGTAATCAATATTGCATTGAAAAATAGATGATTCAAAAGAATTCGGCTTATATGCCTCGGCTTACAAAGCCAGACATTGAGGCTGATGTTGTGTTGATGGTGTTGACATTCACAGCACATTCATCACCTGTGGTCGCTCACTCAGAAATGTATAATCGATAGAACGGTGGCACTTTGCTCTTCAAGTCAGGATGACGTATAGTTACCCTAGGAGTTACTTCAAGTTACTCCTAGAGATACTCCGAGTTACTTTAAGATTTACTTCACGAGTTACTTTGAACTACCCTAAAAATTACACCAGGTTACTGTGAAAATTACACCAGGTTACTGTGAAATTTACACTTTTTTAAAGTTACTTTAAAAGTTACGCCGAGATACTTCAAGGTGAGAGAGACTTCGAGATCATCTGGAGATCTTGACACGTGTCATCCGTTCTTGACACATGGCGTAACACTAATATGGGAGCTGACAACGATAAACAAGAAGCACTGATTAAACGTGACAGTGGAAACCCATAACACTAGGGAACTGTAACACTGGAAACACCCAACACTGAAGACGCGCGTTACTGGAAACACCCAACTCTGGCGAGGCGTGTTACTGGAAACACCAAACACTGGAGACGCGCGTTACTGGAAACACCCAACACTGGAGACGCGCGTTACTGGAAACACCCAACACTGGAGACGCGTGTTACTGGAAACACCCAACACTGGCGAGGCGTGTTACTGGAAACACCCAACACTGGAGACGCGTGTTACTGGAAATGCCCAACACTGGAGACGCGTGTTACTGGAAACACCCAACACTGGAGAGGCGTGTTACTGGAAACACCCAACACTGGAGAGGCGTGTTACTGAAAACACCCAACACTGGAGACGTGTGTTACTGGAAACACCCAAACCCAACACTGGAGACGCGTGTTACTGGAAACACCCAACACTGGAGACGCGTGTTACTGGAAACACCCAACACTGGAGACGCGTATTACTGGAAAAACTCAACACTGAAGACGCGTGTTACTGGAAACATCCAACGCTGGAGACACTGAAAACACTTGTTGGGATTGTCCAAGATGTGCTCACCGTAACCCATGCACATCAAAAAATTTCATTAGTGAGCATAGAGCACCATTAAACAATTCACTCGGATAATACCTTATACCCTGATAATGCCATTGATTTATGTAATACAATGCTAATGCTATAGGTTTGTAAATTACTATTGAACTTTATAATACTGCCCACACAAGGTGACTCACGTCACTGACAGTTGATTGAATGTCTAGAAGCGCATATGACTGAGTTGATCGTTTTTAAAATCAGCAACGTTAATGTCAAACTACTCAGAAACCTAAATCCTAATCGGCTTGCACAGTTATTTTGTGTTTAGTAAATACAGGCCAAATGTATTTGGAAAATTATCAGTTGAACATAGCCTGTGACGATTCGTAAAGTGCCTTGTGCAAAATAAATAAATAAATAATTGCGCGCAAAGTGTTGGTGAACTAATATAACAGATTGAGCTAAGCCTTCTCCTGCAATACGCCACTCACAAATCAGTCCAGGGCGTTTATGCCTCACAAAAGCCCCGTATCTTCCTCCATATCATTAGTCTTTATTGCTCATAAACTTACAGTGTCGGGCAATCTAAGTTACTTTTTAACGCTGTACTGACTGTTGCTTGATATTTGCCATATAAGGGAGAGGCTATAACAAACCCTTTCCTCATAACGAATTTAAACAATTTAATTACTTAATACGACTGTGAATATCGAGTTTGTGGCTGGAAGCCAAATAGCAATATTTCTTGCCAATTTTGCCATTTTGCTTGCTTTATCCCCAGCAATAAAAGCGTGGATTAAGCTAAAAGATGGCAAATATTAATAATCCAATGATTTATGTAAGTAAGAACTACAAAATATGTCGGCAAAAACAAAAATACTGAATTAACAAATTTGTTCTCAATAAGTGAAAATGTCCCGGCCACGGCAACAAAACCCGATTAAAGGTAAACGCAGCGGCTGCCGCAAACATCGCCGTAACTTCAAGCTAACGACCCACAGCTTTGTTCCTGCAGTATTTGCTTCCTTCCGAACCAACACAAGAAACTAAGAGGCTGCAAGTGAATGAAAACACAGCTGCGCGTGACGTCAACGAGCGCCGTAAACTAAGAGGCTGTGTTTAACGTTCTATTCTTCGGTTACATTTACGTATCTGTAATTAATATCTTTAAAAATCTTTTTAACTCTACTACATATTTCGCCTTCATAGGTGAACGATGAACTCGTAATTTTTTTGTTTCTTGATCCACCATTTGTTGCAAATCTAATGTAGTGACCAATATTTTCTCCAGAAACCTATCGATGAACTTGAGTTTCCAAGAACGATTTGCTATAACGACTTCGCGTTAGGAAAATGTTAAAAGTTTTGGTCCGGTGAGCGCTCGTCGACTTCGAAGCGAGTGGGTGGATTTCATTCACGGATCTGGTCACTGAGTCACATTTATTGGATGTTTAGCTTGACAGTATTACCTTCATCCAGGTACAACCCTAGTCAGCATGCAATTAAAAGCATCTACATGAAAAAAATTTCAACACAAAATGAAAAAAAATAAATAAACAAAAAAACAGGGCTTCTTAGGGATGCAAACCAAAAAAAATTATTTTATCATCATTCCATAGGTTTTTTTTTAAATGACATGTATAATTGGACAGGGATAATGTCTGTTCCTTTTTCAGAGAGTTTTTAATTTTTATGAATTTTAAATAAAGTAAGACATTAGACTGTGTAAATTCTGTCTTTTTCCTTCTACATTAACTTATTTCTTGCAAAATAAAGTCCGGTTAGGGTTGCAGCGCAAATTTTTATTTCAAGAGTCACACTATCAGGATAGGTTCAGGGATATTTTCGGCGAAAGCTCGGGGATATTTTCAGGGTTAGTTCAGGGATATTTTCGGCGTAAGGTCTGCGTGAGATGAGGGTAGTTGAGCGTTCAGTGGCGAAGCCAATACCGAAGAAGTGGCGTCACTGGCACGTAAATCATTGCAATGTCTCTATATCAGCGCAGCCTCCCACGGCACCGCTACAAATCTTCTCCGGTATCACAAACTCCAAGCCGAATAACAACAAGGGCCTTACCCGTACAACTTCGCCATGAGTGGATCCCAATACATATTCGCATACATGCGTAAACTCGTTCATTGTCTGGTTTAAAATTTTTTTATGAAGCATTCATGGGAAAGCTCATGATTTAATTTTCAATCAACACATATCAATTTGTTTCAAACTCAACGAGTTGACAACATTCTATTGAATATAGCACAGGCAAATTCTTTACGAGGTTTCTTGCTAATAACCGCTTGTACAAACATAAAACAGGGAAATAAGAATTGAAGCCTCTGCAATGTTGTCAAGTTAACTTGTATGTTGAATCCTCGCATGATATTTTGAATGGTACTCGTGGCGAATCTTTGAACCCTATTAAATAATTAACTGCTCAGGCATTGGTGCATCCCATACATTAGTTTAAAATTTTGTGTAGAATCGTTATTTTTGCTTAAAATATATGAAAAGGCGTCGAAAAGTAACAGATAAAATGGAACATGCGAAATGTTTTAAAAATAATTTATGAATTTTTCTTCCGCCTTAGAAACATGCCTTCAGAATTCGTGAATGGAAATTGAACGTATTTAAGGGGGCATGTAGAGCTTGAAAAAAATTTTCATTTGAACACGGATCATTTTGAAACTTGGTACACTTATGTAAAATTGAATTTTAAGACTTTTTTGTTCAAGTAAATTTTTCTAAAAAATGAAAGAAAACAGAAAAATCATAGAAAACGGCAAAAAAGGAGTACTATAAAAATCTTACCCCTACGAGGATTTTTAAGCTACAACATCAAGAGACCTATCATTCGTTGCGTAGATGCGTAAAAAACATATCTAAAGATTATTCGGTTATTTTTCAAAAAAATTTTCGCTTTTTTCTGATTCTTTTTCCAATTTTGACCTCTCCCTTCCCTTTTTTTCACTATATAATCAGAGCAAAAAGGAAATCGAAAAAATTACCGGATGATCTCTAGAGATTTTTTTTACGAATCGAATGGTATATCTTTCAATGCTGTAGGGTTGCATTGAGAGATATTGCAATGCTGTAGGTTGCTTTGGCACAATAATAAAAGTTATTCGAAAATTGTAAAAAGCTTCATCTAAACTAAAACTAAATGCAAACTAATTTATATTAAAATGATCAAATTACGATACCTC